GGACGGGCGCTGCAGTGCCCGGGCCCTCTTCTCCGCCAGCTCCCGCTGCCGCAGGGTCTCCAGCTCCCGCGTGTCCTCCCCGTGCTCGGCGCCCGCCGGCCCCTGTCCCAGCGCCGCCAGCTCCTCGGGGTTCTGCCGGCAGCTCCGTCAGCTTTGCGGGGTCCCCGGGGGGGCTCCCCGCCCCTCCGGCCCTGCCCCAGCTCACCTGGTCACGGAACATGAGGGAGATGATCTCCAGGACGTGCAGGGCCCATTGCTGCTCCACCTGGGCGCTGGCCAGGAACTTGAGCAGGTCGTCCATGCCGCTGATGTGCAGCGCCCACAGCACCCGGTCGTGCACGCTGGCGTCCCCGTCCACGCCCTGGGGGCACGGTGGGTGGGCAGTCGGGGTCTCCACAGAGCCGTGGCGGCCCCAAACTCGCAGGGGAAGCGGGGAAGGGCCCCATCCCGGTACCTGCTCCTCCGGGGGGTCCGGGGGGACGTGAAGCACATTGCGCACCAGCAGCAGGATCCTCTCGATCAGCAGCATGTCCTCCTCCTGCCGCTGCTCCCAGTCCTGGGGGCGTGGAGCCGTCAGAGCCCCCGCAGCCCCCACAGGGTCCCCCAGCAGGGACAGACCCCGCAGCCCCCCAGGGACTCACCAGCTGCAGGAGGTCGTAGAGCTTCTCACTGAGCACCAGGAAAACCTTCTCGTTGGCGAAAGCCTGAACACACCCCACGTGAGCGAGGGGGCTGTGGGCAGAGACCCCACCCAGGGCCCTGCCCCGAGCAGACTCACCTCCTTGTAGGCTTGCAGGTAGGACAACACCTGGAGGAAGTGGTGCCGGGAGGCGGCATCCGCGGGCACCTTCCCGAAGCAGAGCAGGGCTGGCTGCGTCAGGTTCACCATCAGCCTGAGAGCGGATGGAGGGGCGTGAGGGACCCCCGCTCTGCAAGGAGCCCCCGCAGGGCCCCCCCAGGTCCCCAGACCTGTCCCTCGGTACCTGACAACGGCATCGAAGAGCACCTTGTCCTGCGGGTACTGCACCAGGATGGGCAGGAGGTCGTTCTGCAGGATCTGGGCTGCCCCCAGCTGCTGCCGCACGTCCCGGGTCTCGTCCTCATGGCGCAGGTACCGGATCAGGTCCTTGACGCTCTCTGGGGGGACACGGGGTCGTGAGTCTCCGCCTCCCCCGGCCTCACCGCCCCCGCCCCGGCGCCCACCTACCCAGGCAGTCGGGCTCCCGGTGGTAGACGTCACCCTCCAGGTAGCCCAGGGCGCTGCAGGTGGCCAGGAGTTCGCAGTTCATCATGTACCAGTCCATGCAGCGCGGGGCTGCTCACCGATACCGGCACCGGGGGCCGCCTGCGGGGCACCGTCAGCACCGCCGTGTACCCTCGGTCTGGGGTCCTCCGGGACCCCCTGCCCGTCCCGGGCTCCCGCGATACCGCCCCGCCTGTCGCTTCCAGTCCCCCTCCATATCAGAGCACCCCGCTTTTCCCCGTCCACCCCGATCCCGGTGGCGGATCCCCGATCCCGGAGCATCCCCCAGTCCCAGTCCCCTCCAATACCGGCGAACCTCCCAGTCCCGACCCCGCCCTATGCCGGCCCACCCCACAGCCCCGGTCCGCCCCGACCCCGGAGCACCCCCCGCTCCCGGTCGTCGATGAACCCCACCCCGCGATCCCGGAGCACCTTCCAGGCCCCGGTACCCTCCTCGATCCCGGAGCACCCCCCGAACCCGCACTGCCCCAGTCCGGTCCGGGTTGCTCCCGGTCCACCGCGAATCCTGATCACCCCGCAGCCCCCGGCACCCCCCCGATCCCGATGCCCGCCCCGATCCCGATGCCCGCCCCGATCCCGGTGTCCCCCCATCCCGGTGTCCCCCGTCCCCGCTCACCGCCGCCCCGTCCCCGTGGCTCCCGCGGTCCCGGTGCGGGGGCGGCGTTATACAACTGTCCCAGTTCCCGCGGAACGAGACCCCGCCCCGCGCGCACCCTTCAAGCGGCAACCCTCACCTGTAATCCCTGTGGGCCCTCTCACACCCCTCCCCAACTCCCCCATCCCCCCGCCCACCACAGGTGTGGACCACCGGAGCGACGCCGCGCCGTGCCCCGCCGCCCCCTCCCCTCGATCCCCGCCCCGCGGCGCTGGAGCGGGGGGGGACACACAATTCTCTCTGCTGGGACGGGGTGGGTGGAGACGTTGCCCTTTTAAGAGCGGCGCTGGCGGGGCGTGGTCCCGCCGCGTGCGCGGGAACGGGCGGCACCTCCCGCCACCTCCGCGCGGTGCCCGGGGGGGCTCCGGTGCGTGTCCCCCCCCCCCTCCGGTCCCTCCCGGACCCCGGCGCCGGGCACGGCCGCGAGCGGTTACCAAAATAAAAGAGCAGGTTTAATTCACCGAACACAGAAGTCCCGCCGCGGCGGGGCGGGGCGGCCCCGGCCCGGTACGGGCGGCCCCGGGCAGCCCGGTGCCCGGTTGCCGGTAGCCCGGTGCCCGGTTGCCGGCAGCGGGGGCTCCGCCGCCCGCCCGCCCGCCGCGCCGCACACACACGCACCACACGCACCGCGGCGGCCCCGTCACAGCAAAGCAGCGGCGGGCGCGGGGCCGCGCCCCGGGACGGGCCCCGTTACAGCCCCTGCGTCTTCAGCTCCAGCGGCTCCGCCGGCGGCTCGGGCGGCGGCTCGGCGGCGGCGGCGGCGGTGACGGCGGCGGTGACGGCGGCGGCGGGCGGCTCTCCCTTGAGGGCGGCCAGGCGCTCGGCCAGGCTGCGCGGCCGCGGGCACAGCGCGAACTCGTACAGCACCGCGCCCAGCGCCGCGCCCAGCAGCGGGCCAGCCCAGTACACCTGCGGGGGGGCGGCGTGGGCACCGGCACCGGGGGGTCCCGGCCCCAGAGCCCCCCGAGCCACGGCACCCTCCCCGCCGACCCCCGGGGCCGCGGGCACCCGGTGAGCCGGGGAGGAGACGGCGTGCTCGCCCCCGGGATATCGGGGAGGGGGCAGGACCTGCCTCCTGGTGAGCAGCGAGCGGCCGCATCCCCGCCAGGATATCGGGGGGTCAACAGCTCTGGGGGTCCACCAGCACCCCGGGGCGCTGATGTCACCGCGGTGACACCGGCAGCCGCCCGGCGGGGACACGGCGGCTGGGACAGGGCAGGGACAAGCAGGGAGGGACTGGGGGGGCCCGGGGCAGGTCTGGGGGTCCCCGTCCCCCCCCACTTACCCAGTGGTTGGCGAAGTTGCGGGTGATGACGGCGGGGGCGAAGGAGCGAGCGGGGTTCATGCCGGCGCCCGTGTAGTGGATCTGTGGGAGGACGGGGTGATGGGGGGCTGGACAGCAGCCCCCCAGGTCCCACTCAGCCCCCAGGGTCCCGGCAGGGGGGTCCCCGTGGACGCCCTTACCCCGAAGAGGTGGCCGAGGGCGAGGGAGAAGCCGACGGGCACGGCAGCCATGCTTGGGCGCCCATCGTGACGGTCATCGAAGCTGGCGAGGACGCAGAGGACGAACTGGGCTGTCAGGAGCACCTCCACCACCGTGCCCTGGCCTGGACCCACGCCAGGGTGAAGCTGCACGGGGAGGGGGGGCTAAGCATCATGCAGAGATGGTCCCCCGTTCCCCCCAGCATCCCAAACCCCTCCTCGTTACCCCTCCACAACCCCCAACCCCGCTGAACCCCAAATCCCTCCTGGCCCCAAACCTCTCCCAGACACCCAGCCCCCACTACTGTCCCCTCAAACACCCCCGAACCCCTCAACCCCACTCCCCCTCCCTGCCCCACAGTCCCCAGCCCCGCAGACCCCCCCAGCCCCCCGGTGCCCCCGCTCACCGCGCTGAGGCCGAGGGTGCCGCGGACGGGACCCGGGGTCACCCCGTAGAGCACCCCAGCCCCAGCCAGCGCGCCCAGCACCTGGGCCAGCAGGTAGCCCACGGCACGGGGCAGGGAGAGCTGCGAGACCATCAGGAAGGCCAGCGTGATGGCCGGGTTGACGTGGCCGCCGCTGACGTGGCCCAGCGCCTGCACCACGGTGGCCTGGGCCAGCCCGAAGGCCAGGGCAGACCCCACGACGCTGGGGGGGCCCGGGGCCCAGCGCAGGGAGGCCCCCAGCCCCATCAGGGCATAGAGGAGGCTGCCCAGGAACTCGGCCAGGATGGCCCTCCAGAAGGAGGACGAGCGCAGCTCCCGCATGGCCTGGCCCCGCTGCCCTCCACGGCCCCGCTCCCCTCCCCGGGGGCCGCCCGTGCCCACCTTTATAAGGGCCCCCCCGGGCCGGCCCCAGGGGTGGGATCCCACCTCTGCCACCCCCCCTTAACCGCTTCGCTGCCCGGGGTGCGGGCGGGTGACACACAGCAAGGAACCCCCCCCGAGCCCCCCTGGGACAGCCCTGCACCCCCTGATAGCGGGGACCCCCCCAGAGCTGTGCCCCCCCATCCCTGGGGTTGCCTGGCGTGGAGGGGGGCTGTGACCCACAGGTGCCCTCCGTGTGGTTTGGGGGACTCCCATGCTCGGGGCAGCTCTGAGGCACCTCCAACCCCCCTCCTGTGCTTTGGGGACACTTTGGGGCAACCCCATCGGGAGCCTCCCCTACCCAAAGGGGGTTCCCGGGTGGCTCCCCCCGGTTCAGCCCCACTGGGGGCTGCGGGGGCCGCCCCCCCCGCTGCTGTTGTCTGCGGGAGGGTTTATTCAGCCCGGCTTAGCGGGCGCTGAGTCCCCGGCCGGGGGGATTAGGGCTCGGCCCGGCCATTGGCGCCCGCCGGAATCTGCCGGGGCTGCAGAGGCCACCACAAAGGGCTTTGCTGTGCTCAGCGCCCCGGCACGGGACGGGCCAACGGGGGGTCCCGGCCCCCACCCTCACCGGGGGGCCGCTGGGAGGGGGCACCCACCCACCAGCAGCCCCAGCGTCGTCGCGGCACCCTCGTGGTCCGAGGGCGGGGGTCGGGACCCCCTGCCCATCACAGCATCACTCCGGGCCCACCTGCGACCCCCAAGCACCTTTAATCCCCCCGGGAGGCAGAGGGGGCAGTAAAAGGTTGAGGGGGGGCTGGAGCCATCGTGCAGGGACCCCCCATCCCACCAGGGGGGACACCGTGCCCTGGCTGCCCCCCACGGAAGGCTCTGGGGGCTGTGGGGAGATGGCGTTGGGGTGTCGAGGATCGGTGGGGTGGATCGGAGAGGGGGTCCAGGGGGCTCACGCCGTGCCCTGATCCCGCTCAGCCTGGGGGGCCGGGGGGCCACGGGCAGAGGGTGAGGAAGGGGATGGGCTGGGGGTCTCCACCAGTGCCACGTCCCGGCAGGCGAGGCAGGCACCCAACTTCTCCCGGGAGGCTCCGGGGGCCAGGAGGAACTCGTAGGAGAGCCCGGCCAGCACCGCGCCCAGCACCGGCCCCAACCAGTACACCTGGGGGGGGCACGGAGTGTTGGGGGGTCCCAGGGACTGGGGGGACACAGGGGAGAGGGGCTGCTCAGGGGATGGGGGGACCAGGGAGCCACACCAGTGATGGGGACTGAGATGAGGTTGACCCATCCCTGGGAGACCCACCCAAGGGAAGGGAAGACCTGGGAACCCCATCCTGGGGTCCCACTCTGCATTTGGGGGACCCACCCCCACCCCGGGGCCTCTGAGATGACCCAGGGGCGCCCCCAACTCACCCAGTGGTGGTCCCAGACCCCGGTGACGACAGCTGGCCCCAGCGCGCGCGCGGGGTTCATGCTGCCCCCCGAGAACGGCCCCTGTGGGGCAGACGGTCAGGGGCTGGCGGGGTGGGGACCCCTATGAGTGGGGGGACACTCTGGGGGGTCCTTACCGCGGCCAGGGCACCGGCGGCCACGGCGCTGCCCAGGGCCAGCCCGGCCTGCGGAGCCGCGAGCTCCGCCGTGGCGAAGGCGGCCAGCGCCAGCTGGAAGGTGGCGAAGGTCTCCCAGGCCAGCGCCGTCCCTGCCGTCCCCACCTGCGGGAGGGACACCTGTCCACCCATCCCGAGTGCCCAGGGAGGGCGCGGGGCTGGGGACACTCACCCCGGTGAGCGGGCCGGTGCCGGCCGGCAGCGCCGCGGCGGCGAGCGAAGCCCCCGCGCACTGGGCCAGGACCGCCAGGGCCCCGCGCAGGGCACCGAGCTTGCGGGTGCACAGCAGGGCCAGTGTGAGCGCGGGGTTGGCCTGCGGCCCCCCGAGGGTGCAGACCAGCCCCCCGGCCGCCAGTCCCCCCGCCAGCGCCGGCGCCAGGGGGCCGGGGCCCGCCGAGGCCCCCAGCACCACCCCCACGAAGATGAGGGTCCCCACGGCCTCCGCCAGCACCCCCCGCCAGAGGCGGCCGCTGCGCAGCTCCTGGGGGGACAGGGGGGCCGGGGTCACCGCCGGGACCGGGGCACGTGGTGACAGGGGGCTTTGGGCACGGGGGGGCCTCGGGGTGGGGTCCTCCAGGGGCCATGTACCGTGGGGAGGGGGTACCCCAGGGAGGGGTCCCTTGGGGAGGGGGACAGGGGACCGTGGGCGTGGGCCCCTCAGCACCCGGGCACTGCAGCGATGGAGCACCCTGGCAATGGGGGGCACCGGGCCAGGCTCTGGGGGGACGGGGGCTGTTGGCAGGGCCTTACCTCCCTGATGGCCATGGCACAGCTGTGGGCACCTCCACCCCTGGGGGGCTGAGGGGCTGAGGCTGGACAGAACCCCAGGGGGGCTGCAGGGTCCTTGGCTCGGGTTCAGAGCATCCCTGGGTGCCATGGCAACGCCTCCCCCCCCTTTGGGGTATTGCCAGGACGACCGGAGATGAAAGGCCGGGATGAAAGGCTGGGGGGCGGGGGGTGAGGGAAGGGGGGTCACACACCTGCGATGGGAACGGGAACGGGGCTGCCCCTGGGGGGACACTGGGGGGGCTCACACAGATGGGACAAGAGGGGGCAGAGGGTCTGTGGGATGCTGTGGGGGTGGCACACCTGGGACAGGCACAGGGACAGGGCTGTCCCTGCCAAGCGGGTCCCTGGGGGGGCAGCAGGAGGGTTCGGGGGAGCCCCCGTGCCCCCCCCCCGGGCCGTGGCTCTGCCAGCTCAGCACCGGCCCCGCACGTGGGGTGAGTCAGCGGGCGAAGGGCCTGGATCAGCACGGGGGGGGGCGGTGTGGGGGGTGCTGAGCCCGGCAAAGCCAGAACAATCCACGGCCACAAAGGGCCAGGACAGCGCGGGGACAGCGGGGGGACACGGGGGCAACGTGCAGGAAGGACACACGCGGGGGACACTGGGGGGACATGGGCCCTCTGGCGGGTGGGGGCCACCGTGGTCCCCCAGACCCTCTCCCAGGCCGGGCACAGCTGCGTTGGGAGCCCCTGTTGTGCCCTCCAAAGGCCTGTAGGACCCCCCATCCTGTCCCCACCCAGGCTAGGGAGTCCCCTGTCCTCTGCTCAGACCCCAAAGCCCTGTGAGACTCTCCGTCCTGCCCCTCACATTCCAGGGATGCTGTGTCACCCCACAGAGCTTTGAGGACGCCCAAGATTCCCCATCCTGCCTCACAGACACCCCCCCCAGGATGTCCCAGTCCTGCCCTACAGATGCCCAGGTGCTAGCAGATAGCCCCAAGGTGCCCCACAGACCCCCGAGACACCCCTGTCCTGCTCTGCAGACCCCTCAAGAGCCCCAGGTGCCCCCACATCCTGTCCCACAGGTAACCCAGAGTCCGCCCTCCTGCCCCAGAGTCCTCCAAGTGCCCCAGGACACCCCAAGCCCGCCCTGTAGACCTTCCCAGGTGTCCTACACTGACCCACAGACCCCTGGGTGACCCCAGGACCCCCCATCCTGCCCCCACCACCCTCTCCAGACTCCAAGATGGCGGCGCCCTGCGCGGCCTCAGCCGGAGTCACGTGGCGGAGGGAAGGGTGGTGCCAAAAATGGCGCCGGGGAGTGGAACCACGTGACCGCCGCCTCCAAAATGGCTGCGCCCACCATTCGGGGTAATGGCGGCGGTGGGCGGGGCTTCCCTTAAAGGGGCCGCTTGGTACCCGGTGGGGGGAGAGGACGGGGTGGGGGGACTGAGACCCCTCAGAGGGGCAATCTGTGACAACCCCCCGAGCTGGGGGTTGGGGCTGGGCGTGTGTGCAGCCCCCCCCCCACTCCCGGGGTTGGGTGGGAAAAAGGGGGGGGGGGGGGGGGGGG